GAACCTAGTGGATATTAAACTGGGGACTCAAAAGATTAGAAAGTTCAGTTCCCTGATTTGAATGTGAAAGAAACTTGTAGCTAGTCAGGTAAAGGATAGAAAAGCAAATTCTTGTGTAACAATGAAGAATTAAGTAATATATTGATAATGTTCTAGGCTGAAACTGGTTGAAATAAGTTTAAAAAGGCAAATTGTTCTGATAATGGAGGATGGGAACACGGGGCAATGGCATATTTGAAACCTGGAATAGTTTTATCCCACATGCTGGATATGAGCCAAGAGTGCAGTGCGGCTGCAAAAAGTGCAAATGCTGTTTTAGTTGTGTTAACAGAAATATAGTCTCAAAATCTCATGAAGTACAAGTTCCCCTTTATTTGGCACTAGTTAGGCCTAATCCTGAGCATTGTGCCCAGTTTTAGACATTGCACGTTAAGAAGGGTGAAGCAAATTGGAACAGGCTCTGAGGAGGGCAACAAGTGTGATCAAGGGACTGGAAACCAAGCCCTATGAGGGAAAACTGAAAGATCTGGGCATGTTTAGCTTTGAGAAAAGTCTGAGGGGAGATAGGATAGCACTCTTCAAATACTTGAAAGGTTGTCATACAGAGGAGGGATAGCATCTGTTCTCAGTCATTCCAGAGTGCAGGGCTTGTAATAATGGCCCAAGTTATAAGAAGCCACATTTCAGCTGAACATCAAGAACAACTGGGAACATCTGATCCTACAAATGTTGTTCAATTGGAATCTCATTATTCTGTGTCATTGGCTATAATATCAGGACTGGTAAGTGTCTGTAGTCTAGCATCTGAAGGTCATACATTCTCATTTTCTGCTCTAGAGAAATCTTTCCCAATATATTATTAAGAATGTGGTGGTGATGGTTAGTTTACATTTAATCATCTGAATTTTCTACTTTGAGTGCTCTCTTGCTCTGTCATCCGCGTTTTTTGCTCAGTACAGTTGTGTCACATGTACAAACACAAACAAATCTCATTCTTTGATAAGAATGAAATGGGAAGGAGTTCTGTAGTTGTAAGACAGATAGCAGCAGACTGTGAATGTTTGTGCTTTAAACGCTTTGCGTGCAGCATTTGGAGAGGATCCCTATGGCCAACTGAAATATTCTGTTGTTGTACAAGTCAATGAGGCCATCAATACAGTTGATAGCTCATGGAAGTCTTTAGAATAATAATATGGGACACTCCTCTGAGACTGCATCATGTCCTAATTCAGGGATGGGGATTAGGATATGATACTACACTTTGTGAAAGCTGTTGGCATGTTAAAAATTAACTTGGAGAGCAAAAGTAGACTGATGAAGTTATTGATGAAACTTTATCTCCATCTGCAGCGGGGATGGGTAATTGTGGGCCTCCAGATGTTAGACTCTAGTTCACCTTAGTTTCTGCCATCATGTCCAGTGGTCATATGTGATCAGAGTAGGATTCCGACAATAACTGGAGGGCTACAGGTTGCCCATTCTCAATCTACAGGGAGACTTTCATATACGTATGGACATACAGTATGGACTTTTTTTTTCTCTGTTGTGATAGATAAGAATAGAGGATCTTTGATTCTACACAAGTTTTGAATTTCAGCTCCCAGAAACTCTCACAAACATGGCAAATGTGTGATTATAAGAGTTGTGGACTGAAATATTTGCACTGACAAAGATTCTATACCTCTGGTGGAAATGGTGCAGTCCCACAATTCTGTCTAAATTCAGTCTTGGCATTGATGTGTCTCTGTCTCCCTGTCTGTCTCTCTCTCTGTATAACTGTGGGATCTTGATCCCTACAATCTTAGGTGCAGTGTAGTTACAGCATGGCTTGTTAAATATATTTTGTACAGAAAGAAGAAAATGCAACAAGTTTAATGTCTTCCTTCCTTTATTTAATAGAAATTGCCAAATGCCTTCTATCCTTCCTGTATTTTATAGGAAGCTTGGGAAACATTGAACATGGTAATCAGTATCAGCTGAAACGTATGTATGAACACAATCTTCAGAGAACAGCTTACAACATGACTTATGGGCCATTTGGAGGTATAAAAGGTAAATTCAAAATTTTGCTTGGGATTTTTTATGTTATTTGTAAAACTGGTATGATAAATACAGATTTCCCTGTTTTGATTACCAATGGAGCCATAGAGAGACATATGGCTGGTTGCTGAGGTGCAATCAAGGAATTTTGTGGTGAAAGAATTGCATGATGAGGCCAGTGGTCTGGTACAGGGATAGAACAAAACACCAGTATCTGGTGATAATATGGTTCCCTTTCTAGAGGTGGAAAGGGTTGAGTGTGGAACTAAATGATTGGGAGGTGGCTGGTATGCCCCTAAAAATTAAGCAGACTGAGAGATTCAGTAAATTACCCCACAGGGAATATAAGGCCTGGAATGTCCATGATCTATGTTTGGAGAGGTTGGATTGTCTACATTTCCAAAATACTTAAGACTAGTATGTACCGTGTCTCATGAAAATGTGAGTGTATATAATTCCACCCCCAAGATATCCTTCTTTTTTAAAAATAATAATAGTGGTATGGTAAAATACATTGGTTGAAATCCTGTTGTACATAACAAGAAGCTGCAGAAATGGTAGAAAAATCATGACAGGATAGATGTACTATGCGCAAATCAGTTCTGCAGGCAGTGTGAACCACACAATCGATTAATTGTAGCAGGTAAGAATGAACTGAGGGACGTGGTGGCGCTGCGGGTTAAACCACAGAGGCCTCTCTGCTGCAAGGTCAGAAGACCAGCAGTCATAAGTTCGAATCCACGTGATGGAGTGAGCTCCCGTCGCTTGTCCCAGCTCCTGCCAACCTAGCAGTTTGAAAGCATGTAAAAAATGCGAGTAGATAAATAGGTACCTCTTTGGTGGGAAGGTAACGTTGTTCCGTGTCTAGTCGCGCTGGCCACGTGACCGTGGAAACTGTCTACGGACAAATGCTGGCTCTATGGCTTGGAAACGGGGATGAGCACCGCCCCCTAGAGTCAGACACAACTGGAATAATGTCAAGGGGAACCTTTACCTTTTACCTAAGAATGAATTGATACCCAGTACGATGTAAAGTCACAGACTAGAACTCAGGAAAGCTGGGTTTGAATCCATGCTCAGCTATGGATGCGATATTCTGGCATCCCTTATGAAAAAAGATTGTGCCCTTGTAAGGATAGAAAAATTGAAACTATGAAGCACGTCCTTTTTGAGTGCAATTTTTACAGAAAAGAGTGTATTAAATTCCTTAAGCCCATAATGGATGTCTTCCCAGGTAGGACTCTGATTTGGCATACAAAATATTTATTAAGTGACACAAACAAGATGACCACCGAATCAGTGGCTTCCTTTCTGCCCAAAGAATATGAAAAACAATCCTGACCTCTACCTAAACCCATAATTTAAAAAAAAAAAATTGTATGGGTAATCTGTTTTACCAATTTTTACTGTTTTATCTGTTTTCAACTGTTTTAATAGCTTCAATTTATTTTAAATATTACATGTATGTATTTTAATGGGCCAGAGACCGCAAAATAAAGATTGATTGATTGTATATAATATTATTATAAGAAAACAACATATGTGTACTCTATTATATCACTTTATACTGTTTTTACTATATTGAAATGTTTTAATTGCTACCACTTGTTTTAAATATGTATGTATTTTAATGGGTCGGAGACCATAAAATAAAGATTGTTGTTGTCGTCTATATAAAATTATACTGATCTTGGCTTAAACTTAAAATACATGTAGTAGAATTTTGGTGCAATTTATTCATGTGTATTCTCACTGAATTTTTCCTTGCTGGTGTTGGAAACAGAAGTGAAAATCAGCTGATCATCTTTTTGAGAATATAAAATGATGTGTAAGACTTATATTGCCAAGGCAAAGGAAAGAAAAGAAAACATTGGGCTGAATCTTAAATGTCATATCATGATTGGGTTGAATTGTTTCTTTATTGCATTGGCTAAATTTGATCATGTCTGGAAAGTGAATGACAAAATCTTTGTTTTGCATTATTGTATAATCTTACTGTTTTATGGGAACAACATATCCCTTTTATTTTGATTTTAACTAAGTTTTTTGAGTTTATAAGGTAATGCATTTTGTGACTCTGCATATGGAAACAGTACATTGTTCCTTATGTATTAATGAATGTAAGCACCAGAGGGCACTCATGCATTTCTGTTCACCAGAGAAGAAATCAACAAAAAATTATCACACTATCGTGTTTTGACCACAAGTTACACATAAATATAAGCCTAAGAAAGTTGACATTTCATTGTAAACAATGCCATCATCAAATACCACAGAGAGTTAGGCCCCTAAATGGAAAAGTAACATATTTTAAAAGTACTATTTACCAGTAGATGTTAGTTGTGTCAGCATTTATAAATGAGGACGTAACATAAATGCTTAGAACAGAAAATGTGTAAACAGAATTTCATAACACAAGATGCATCACATATTATTTTTTTAGAGTTGAAATTGTATAGCCATATCAGATGCTAACTTTCCCAGTGTTGGCTCTCATCAAGGTGCTTGCATGAGCAGCAGCATATCAGAAAAAGAGAGGTTCCAGCTTGTGTTTTATGAGCAAGCAAGTATCCTGGAAATCCTTGGTTCTTGCTTGTATGTATAATGTATATGTACCTTTCTTCTCTTCAGATTGATAGCTGGTTGAACAAAGTGGTGATGGGGGAGAGAGTGGCTGGTTCTTTCTGTCCATGTTGACAAGTCCTGAAGAATTAATAACTGAATAGGGCTTATGTCATGTGAAGTTGCTCATATCATAAAACAGGAATGGGCAGAGTACAAGCCTCCAGATGTTGTTGGACTACAATTCCAGTTAGCCCTTTGCAGTATAGCCAGAGGTGATGAGTGCTGGGAGTTGCAACCTAATGACACTGGAGCCAGCCCCTATTTTAAATTGCTAAACAGTAACACCTGTCTGGTAAGGATGGACAGCACAGTGAAGTTTGCTTGTTTGTTTATTTAAACTATTTATAAACTGTTTCTCTACCCACCAGCATCTTCAAAGTGAGACATTTATTTATTTATTTATTTATTCCATTTTTACCCTGCCCATCTAGATTCGGAAATCTACTCTGGGCAGCTTACATAATATAAAGATAAAACCAATATTAAATAACTTTGATCATAAGAGCAGAAAGGTTAATAAAGAAGACAGGATCCAAGATGGGATAAAGAAGCTATATAATGGGAGAGGGGAAGGTCTGCTGGAAGAACCAAGTCTTCAACTCATTTTTAAAAATTCCCAGCGAGGGTGCCAGTCGAATCTCAATAAAATCACAATTTTAAAAAAATTAACAGAAACAGAACTTTGTTAAAAAGGGACTAAAAACCATTTTAAAAGCCGAATAATTGACGGAATGACTAAATTCTCATTGCCTTTTGGGAATTTTTCTCCTATACTGTGGTAGTGCTTTTGGAAGCATAACATTGTTTTGCTGGTATATATGTCTCCTAAGGATGGGTGTTTATCCGAGGATGTGAAAAATGGGGATCTCTTTTTTTGCACACTGAAGCATTGTTGGGTGTTGAGGCTCAGATCTCATTTCTATATTTTACTTAGACTGTTGGCCAGTTATATGTTTCTGAGCCTTAAATTTGCTTTTTGTAAAATGGGTATTTTACCTGAGCTGTGCCTTGTACTTACATTCTTGGGTAATTTACTTCCAGTCTCCCCAGTTTGTCTTGTTGCTAGCTGCACCCATTGCTGCAGCCAGTTTTTGAATGGATGTCTCCCATGTTAAAAATGCCATAATATACAGAAATGAAATTAAATGAAAATAAGATAAAAAATTAAAATGCTAATGAGACTCACAGTCCCAATACTTGCATGGTTCACAACCTTGTTCCCAGAATCCTTCATCTAACATGGTCCTTGACTATGCTACCTGGAGTATTCTGTAGTTTTAAAAGAGGCTGTCATGTTAGTCTATGCTGGCATGTCAGAATTTTTTTTTAAAAAAAGACAATGATGCTGTGCCACCTTAAAGACTAACTTATATTTTAATGTGAGCTTTCATGGAAAAGTCCATTTCTTCAGACATGAGAGTGGGATTCTATGGTAAATATATATCTCTCTGTGTGCTCACTACCATTCACAAAGAAACACTAAAAAGTAACGGAGAATCCCAGAAGCTGACTTCTTTTGTCAGTAGTCATCTACCTCTTACCCAGCACAAAACAACTGTCATGGCTTTTTCTCAACAAGTTCTCTAGGTGTTTATTTCTTGGGGCCCAAGCAATCTGAGTATGTGGAAGAAATCGTCTCTTTGAATATGGATACCTGAGTTGTCATCAGGCATTGTGATGAAACTTGTGCTTCTGGTGACTAATTCACAGTGCCTCATTTGTGAAAGCCAGAGTTTCTCAACCTAGGGATTGTGACCCCCAAGGGGGTCTCAGAGTATTTTCTGGGGGGTCATGGGTCACCATATATGTAAAGGTTCCCCTTGACATTTAGTCCAGTGGTGTCCGACTCTAGGGAGTGGTGCTCATCCCCGTTTCCAAGCCATAGATTCAGCGTTTGTCCGAAGACAGTTTTGGTGGTCACGTGGCCAGCCTGACTAGACATGGAACACTGTTAACTTCCCACTGAGGTGCACCTATTTATCTATTCACATTTTTACATGCTTTCGAACTGCTAGGTTGGCAGGAGCTGAGACAAGCGACGGGAGCTCACTCCATTATGTGGATGCGATCTTACGACTGCAGGTCTTCTGACCTTGCAGCACAGAAGCTCCTGCGGTTTAACCCACAGCGCCGCCACGTCCTGTACCATATATGTAGGCCTTGTTAAATAATTTCTTCCTTGACCTTTCAGAGCAGGATATTAAAGTTAGTGTTTATGTGTATGTATGAGAAACAGGCTGTCTGGGGGAGAAAGAAGCCTCTACTTTCCAAGAAAGGATGTCTTTACCCCATTAAAAATGCCTTTTTATGCAAATGTGATGGGGGCTGCAGTATATTTTGCTATTATTAAAGGGGGTCACAAGTTGAAAAAATTTGGGAACTAGTGA